TCGGGAGGAGGGCGGGAGAGGCCCAGACAGACATTCCCGGTTGCGCTCCGAGCCTTCCTCCCAACCCAAGACGGGTGCCATGCAAAGGCCGTCACTTCCCGGGAATGCGCTGGCGCCGTGACCCCTGGCCAGGCGGCTCCTTCCTCCTGCAGCGGCTGCAGCCCTCGCACGCTCCCCTCCCGCATGCACCCGCTGGTCTCCTCCTGCTCGTGGGCTTCGGTGAGGACAAAGGACCTTCTTTCCCACCCACCCCCACCCCCAGCAAGGAGCTTGGCAGCTTCTTCCTCTTCCTCCTCTTCCTCCTCCTCCTCCTGGCCAACCTGGATGTTGTGGGTGGGAAACAAGGGGAGGCTTGGGGGGGGGAGAGAAGAGGGGGAAAGAGCAACCACATGTCCAACTCCTGTGCCACTTCTCTGGGGCCACGGAGCCTCTGCGGGAAAGGTACGGGGCCGAAAGTTGGTGGCGTGGGTGGTGGTGAGCCTGGCGGAGCACAGGGTCCTCGGGGCAGGGCGGGCAGAGTCTCTGGATGGGGGTGCAGGAGCAGGAGGCACGCCGGCTCCCTGCCTACTCCAGGTAAATGTCTTCTGTCGGGCAAGCAAACTCCAGGTGCTCTTGATAATATTCCTGAAAGGCGCGGCTGGAAGGGAAAGGACAAAATCGCGTCATCTATGGCACGGATGCAGCTCATCTAGACACGGAGGGCCCAGAGAGAAGCCAGACGGTCCCTCCGGGTTGTGGGAAAGGGCAGCCCCCCCCACACACATCAGCAGCCTCTCCCCTTCACCTGGATAAGAAAAGAGCTGCCAGGGTGGAGGATGGGGTCCTGACCAGCTCCCTCCCTCCCTCCCTCGCCAGGACGTCACCCCGTCTTCTCCTGACCCTTCCCCAACATGCCTGCACCTCTCTTTTCTCTGACTTAGGGCAGAAACAGTGGAGGCAGAAGCTTTGAAGTTAGAAGCAGGACTGCCTCGAGAAGTAAAGAGCATTTCCTTATCCTCTACAGATGGGAAAAAGTATTAGCAGGTCTTGTGAAGGGCCCCATGTTTATATTCACACTTGGCATGGCTCAAATGCCAGCCAGTTCATTCTTCTGCTGCTGGGTGTAACTTGGCAACGTTTGGCCCGGGCTGGCTGAGGCAGTGAACAGGCATAGAGCCCAGCCATGGCTGCCCCCCACCTCCAGCACCTTGAACCCAAGGGAATTCTGTCACTGTTCCCTGCTTGTCAAGTTGGAACCATCTTATACCGACCCTCAGGGAGCTCTCAAGGTCAGTGAGATATTTAAGGGGGGGTTCAACCAGTTCCACTCCCCCAGGATTCGAACCCGGGCCTCCTGAGACCTAGTGCATCTCTCTAGCCACACTGGGTATCCTCCAGGAGGAACACAGGAGCCTAAATCTTCTTGGCCGCCCTAACTAGAATAATATCACTGCTGAAGGGTGAGCTGACACATGTAAATCTCATTGCTTCAGTGGGTCTACTCTGGTGGGGACTACCAATTAGGTCTAGGCCAGGCTGACCACACCGAGGACCCAACGGCCCTCTAGAACGAACCCAGACCGCCTGGGGGTCATTGGGTCATCTGCCGCCATGCCGCCATTTGCAAAAGGCAGAGACCAAAATGGTCTGCAAGCACTTCAAATAAAGGGCCGCCTCTGCCACGGAGCTTCGTGGGTGAGTTGCCACCGAGGAAAGAACCACGACCTGTGCCCGCCAGGTGGACGGCCGGGCAGACCACAGAGCCACTTGCCACCATGGGAGTGGTGCCCTCCAGGGGCCTGCCTGGCGTCCTCTCCCCAACGCCAAGGCCCCCGGCCCCTCACTCACCCAACACACTCGGCGACCGGCCGCATGGATTCCTGGGAGACAAAGACGTGGCAGGCGAAGCGGCTCAGGACCGGGTGCTTGGTGATGAAGCCAAAGTAGCTGCGAGAGAAGAGGCGGAGGGTGAGGCCAGTGAGGACGGGCGGGTGGCTGCCTGGGGCGAACTGGAGGCCCAGGCCGTACAGCGGCTGCCCGTTGAGCCCTGCCACGATGCTGCCCGGTGGGCCGCTCTGGTCACCTTGCCTGGCGCTTCCTTCTCCGACCTGCTGCTCTGCCTCCCAAGGGGCTCAGAGCCTCTCCCTCCCGGCCAGGGATTTGGCAGAACATTCCCAATGCCTTCCCCTGCCGGGGTCTTCTGCGTGGCACCCTCTCTCCACTTCACAGGGCCAAGAGAGAGAAAGAGAGAGAGAGAGACGCCCCCCCCCCCACTGTGGCATCAGGGAGAGTCCAGCAGCCCCTTCCTCAACTGCTGACTGGCCGAGGGAGCCGAGGACGAGTGGGTGGGCGTCTGGCGGGGCTCCAGAAACCGACGTCCGGGCGGGGCGAGGAAGAGGAGGCTGACCTGCCTCTGGGGGTGGAAAGAAGGGGCCACGCGGCCACGGAGGAGACTCACCAGCTGTTGCGAGGATGGCAGCCACAGAAGGAGATGTTCTTCATCTGGAAGAAATGGCTGCAGCGCTCAAACTGGAAAGAGATCGGGCGGAGGTGAGGAGACGCCCTGGGCCGCCCCCTGGCCTGCAGGTCTCTCTGGGGGTCCGGCGACCCCTGGCCTCCCTTGCGGACCCCCCCTCCCCCTGCTCCCTCTCTCTCCTGGGCTGGCAAGAGACCTCTCCCCCTCCCCTCCTTTTGGAGGAAGGGACCTCCCGGCAGGGCTTCTCTGGAGGAGCCTCGGCCCACGGCTGTGGCTGGCCAGGCCCGGGAGCCTCGGACTTAGGGGGCGGTGGGCCCCCCAGCCCTCCAAGATGTGCTGCCTGCCTGCCTGCCCTTCTGGCGCCTCGGCCCTTGCCCCGAGAGGCGCTGCCCCCACGCCCAAGGGAGTCTCTGAGCCGGACAGGGGTGGGGACAGGAGACGGCCTTACCAAGCTGGGCGGGGGGAGTGGGGTGGGGGGCAAAGAGGGACAGAGGCAGGCCACGGAGCAGAGGAGCGGGGCTAGTTGGCCACACTGGGGGCACGTGCCTCAGGCCCATCCAAACCTCAGGCTGCTGCAACCCTTTGAGGCAGGGTGGGGGCTATGACCCTTCCATCCTGCTGCCGGCCTCCCCCCCCTTCCAGGCACTGGGCCATTGCTGGGGGAAAGCGGAGCCCCCTTCCTGTTCTGATTCCACCCCCAGAGGCGGGCCAAAGGCAGGCAGGACTCAGCCCCACACCCCTGTCCTGTGGACCTACGCCGGATCCTCCCTCTGTGGAGGGACGTAGAGAGCGAGGGAGAAAGGGCACTCAGAAGCTGCACAAAGGCAGGTTGGGGTGAGCGCCCCAGGGGGTGGGAGTGGGGGTGGGGGTGGGGGTGGGCCCCCCTGGCCTTCTGCCACCCACTCCTGGGCGATGCACAAAGGCACGGCCCGCTACCCGCCACCCCCCCGCCACTGCCATGGCACCAGCCCCTCACCTCCTCATCCCGACTGTACTCGTTCACGGTCAGGATCAGCTTGATCCCCTGCAGGCTGATTTCCAGGTCACAGGTGGCCGGGGGCCTCAGGTGCACCGTCAGCTTTCGGGTGGTGGCAATCTGCAAAAGATGGGGGGGGGAAGAGGGCAGGAGTCAATAGGTGAGGGTGGGGGGTGCACGTGAATGTGTGTGGAGGGGGGTCTCCCCAAACGGAGCCAGCACACGGAGCTGCCGTCACCCAAAGGGCACAAACCATTTTTTTGGGGGGGGACACCCCCTTGCTGGACCACAGCCCCCACCTCCCTCCCCCTGGCATGGCCCCTCTGCAGCGGACACCCATCCTGGCCCCTTTCTTCTCCCGCTCGCACCTTCTGCATGGCCGCGCACAAGATGCCGTTGCCCTGATGGTAGGGGACCTCCACCGACCCCAGGAACTGGACGTTGAAGCCCTCCACCCAGCAAGGATTCCGCTTCAGGCCTGCAGAGAGAAGGCGACAGACAGGCTGACCGGGTCCCTGCGACTGGCCCTCCAGGAAAAGGCCCGGGCGTTTGGGGGCCATGAAGGAAACCTCACGCTGCCAAGGAGGGGAGCCTTTCAGGAGGAGGAAGGGCCGAGGGGCCGGGCCCCCGGGGCTCCTTCTCAGACGGGAGCCCTAGGAACAGGCGAGCAGGAAAGGCAGATGGTCCACTCTCCTCCTACAGAGGAGGGGCAGGATCTGCTCTCCATCATCCCGGACTGCAGGACCCGCAACCAGGGGCTCAAGGGACAGGAGGCCAGATTTTGGCTGAACATCGGGGGAAAAACGTCTTAACTGTTAGAGCAGTACGACAACGGGACCCGTGACCTCAGGGGGAGGTGGTGAGGGCTCCAGTGCTGGAGAGGCACTCGAGAGAAAGGCAGGCAGGCAGCCATCCGCGTCTGATGTACAGGACTTTGGCTAAGATTCCTGCCTTGAGCAGAGGGTTGGACTCCATGGCCTTCGAGGCCCCTTCCAACTCCATGAGTGTTTGATTCTGGGAGCAAAGATGTGATGAGACAGCAGGAACAGGAGACAAATTGGCCACTACCTCAAGGCAGATTTAGAGAGGAACTGTCTCTCTACAGGTTCCAGAAAGGGTTAAGGGTTAGGCCGGCCGCCGTCCAACTGTTTTGGCATGTATGGTAGAAATTTTTTAAAAAAGAAAAGTTTTATCCAAATCGGTACCTTTCCATTTCTAGATTTCTAGAGCCGTTAAAGCTAACATGGAAATACAGTGGTGCCTCGCTTAACGAGTGCACCACATAACGACGAAATCGCATAGCGATCCGTTTTTTCGGATCGCTAATGCGATCGCTTAACGTTTTTCTTATGGGGCACAATTCACTTTGCGAAGACCGGTAAGCGTTTCGCTTACCGATCTTCGCAAAACGAAGCCCCGACGATCAGCTGTTCGGCGGCCAAAATGGCCGCCGGAAGCCCAGAAATGGCCCAAAATGGCCGCGCGCAGCGTTTTCGCGCCCTCGTTAAGCGAGGCGAGGGTGCGAAAATGGCTGCCGGCCATTACAAAGCTTCGTTGAACGGTGAGTATTTGGCTCATTTGGAACGCATTAAACCATGTTTAATGCGTTCCAATTGAAATCCCTGCCCCGTTCAACGATGCTTCAGCATAGCGAAGGTTAATCCGGAACGGATTAACCTCGCTATGCAAGGCACCACTGTAACTGGGTGAATCTTTAAGAGCTGCAACCTTTTTTAAAAAGTGATTTTTTTGTCAGACGCTGTCTGTGTACATTAGAGGAATTATGGACTGGTAGGGAGAACCACACGGGTGATACAGCGTGTAAGCAAAGGGGCAAAGTTCAGGAGTAGAAACGGAGGGATTAATTGTTGTTGCTAAGCAATTAATTGACCGAATTAGCCTAATTAATCCATTAACTTTGAAATAGACAGAGAGGTTTCCAGACAGCAGCGTGGTGGGTTGTTTACCCCTGACTTTTTTTTGCCAGCGCCTTCAAGAGTGTTTGTTCTTACTTATGGGATTTATTGTCTATCAGGATTCAAATTAATGTGTTATTGCCACACTGGGTGGGATGGGGTGCTTCTGTCATGGGGAATTCGTGCAACTGGGAAGTTTGTTCTTTCAAAAGTGCTGCCAATACTCCTAAAAAAACAGGTGGAACAGAAGTTGGTCAAGCAAAACAAATGCCATATTTTTTCGTGTATAAGACGCCTCCATGTATAAAACGCCCCTCACTTTTCTAATCCAAAATTAAGAAATCTAAGTGGAGCTTAGCACGTGTAGGAGAAAAGGGATCAAAGCGCTGCAGGATCACTTTGATCCCTGCTTTCCCCTCCACTTGTTTTGGTTCTCTGCTCAGCTTACTTCCGTGTATAAGACGACCCTCAATTTTTAGTCTAAAGATTTTAGACAAAGGTATAGTCTTATACACAGAAAAATACAGTAAATTCCAAAATGCATCTTGTGGTGATTAGCTTCATTAGGCCAAGCAACGCAGACACCAAAACTGTGCAGATACTCAAGGCCACCAATCTCTTTATCAGGTAAGATGGAACAAGAGTCAGTAGGAAGAGGAGGAGGAAGACGAGGAAGAGGAGGAAGAGGAAGGGAAGGGCCTGATCAGAAGTCTTTGCCATCTGGGTGGCATTGAGGAAGGAGGCACTGCAGACCTTTGATCATAAAGGTACCATTTCCGTATGGATTTTGGAATTTGTCCGCCGGCCAAGGCAGCCACCTCTAATTTTGGGAGAAAAGTGAAAGGAAGCTGTGAGGGTCCTTGGACACTGGAGGAGAGGGCAGACCGACCCCTCCCCATGATGGATGGCACTCTCTCTGGGATGCTGTGGAGGCACACTGCACTAAGGAGAGCCCGGGACGTGACCCCTCCAAGGCGCCCCCTTTCCCTTTCCCGATGCCACGCAAGGGAGGCACCTCCAGCCCTGCCCTTAGCCCCCTGCTCTGCTGGAGCCTTGGAGGAGCTGCGAGAACCTCTTGGCAAACCTGCCTCCCCAGCCACCCACCGAGGGCCTACCTGTTCCTTCCTTTGCCGGGCTCACCACCTCGTGGGCATAGAAAGCTGGGAAGATGCCACGCTCTCCCGTGCGCATGTTGTAGCCCCGGTACCAGTAGTCATCCTCTTCCAGCTCCACCAGAATTGGGTCATCCACGTCCAGCTCCAGCTCATCTTCATGCCGAGGGATGAACCTGAAGGTGGAGTGACGCCCCAGGTGAGATGGAAAGAGAGAGGGAGGGAGCAGGCGAGGGAGGACCTTCCGGGGCCCACAGGCCCCTCCCTCCCTCCCCCTCGCACAGAGCATGGGGAGAAACTCTCTTTCTGAACAACAGGTCCCTCATCGTGGTTGCCCACCAGAGATATGCGGGGGGGGCAGTTTGCACCGCATGTACTCAGAGGCACTCTCTGCTCAGACGGTGGATTGTTCCTGGCACATGGCAAGTCAGAGCCACAGCATTGATCCAAGGGCCCCGCAGGGGAAAGGGAACCTCGGGCAGCCTGCCAGCAGGAGAGGGCCGTGCCTTGCTGGCAATCTGTCCCTCCTCCTCCTCCTCGGGCTTTTCTTTGAGAGGTGGTGGTGGCGCACTGGCTGTGGCTCTCTCCGTGGCAAGGGGACTGGTGCAGCCTCGGAGAGCTGCACCGGCCTCCTTGCCCTCTTTGTCCTTTCCTCCCAGTAGCCTCAGCGGCCCCTTCTCACCTGAAGACAGCGCGGTGGGTCTGTTCCCGCTCCTCCCCGTTCACCGTGCAGGAAAAGAGACCAAAGGATTCTGTACCTAAGGAGGAGAGGGCAGAGAAAGGGTCACCCCAAGCAAGGGCATGGCGTGGCGGCATCCTTGGCCAGCTCCCCAGGAGGCTTGCAGCCATCGGAGGTCAGAAAGCCTGAGGCTGGGGGGTGGGGGAGGAACACACACCCCCCCCCATTAGCCAGGAAGAGCGGAGCCCATCGCTGGGGCATTCCGAGAAGCGCTGGCAGCGGCCGGGGAGGGAAGAGGGTGAGGGGGGGTCAGCAAGACAGCCGGCAGGGGGATGGGACCAAGGGGCTCCTACTTTGGGGGCAGCAGCAGGAGTACAAAAGGAGCTCCCACCCGGGGAGAGCACGCGGAAGAGGCCAGCGCAAGCCTGGCGCCTGACTTACTGGAGGAGCGAGAGGTGCTGTTGACGAAGACATTGAGGAACTTCTTGGAGAAATGGAGGTCGGCCTCGGGAGAGGAGTCCTCCTGCTCCGAGGAGGAGCTGCGCCCGTCGGGGGCCCCCAAGCCCTCCCCAAAGTCACTGCCGCTCTCCTCCAGGTCGGCGGCCTCGCAGGCCCGCAGAAGCTCACTGTCGTCGCTCAGCACCGAGGTGCAGCGCCGGAGGCTCACCAGCTCCAGCTGGGTGTGCTCGTCCACCACCAGCGTGTACTTGAGCGCGTCGTAGGCCAACGAGTGGTCCAGCGGCGCGGCCGGCGGCGGTGGCGGCAGCTCCTCCTCCCCCTCCGAAAAGGGGGACCCCTTCAGGCTGCCCTTCGGGCAGGGGTGCTCGCCTTCCTCCTCCTCCTCCTCTTCCTCCGGGGAGTAGGCCAGGCGGAAGCAGCGGTTGGTCCGCGCAGTGGAGATGTCCAGCCCCTGGCCGGGCTCTAACCGGATGTCATCGATCATGTCACTGTCCCCCAAAACACCCGAGCCAGGCTCCCCATCCAGCGCGCTCTCCTCCGGCCCGGCGGAGGGCTCCCGGGGGGACCCATGCCTGGCAGGCAGCCCCCCGGCGCAGCAGCTGGAGAGGGGCCGCCCGGGGAAGACTGGGGTGATGGTGTCATGGGTGGCGTTGCTCAGGAACAGGAACGGGGGGCCTTGCAGCTCTGTGGCTGGCGGGCCCTTCTCGGGGGGCTTCTCCGCCTCGGCCCCCTGCAGCGAGCTGCGGAGCGTCTCCATATCCACCAGCTCGATGCTTTGCTGGCGGTGGGGCTGGGGGGCGCCCGGCACCTCACCGGGCAGATCGCCCTCCAGGTCCGAAGCAGGCGAGATGGTGTCGGAGAGGGAGGGGGCAGCCGGGAAGCACTCGTCAGCGCACTTGATGGGGTAGGAGCCCTCCGAGATCATCTTGTTGACCAGGTTGCTGAGCAGCCAGGGGGAGTCGGAGTCTTCACTCAGGTCAGGCTCCGACTCGGAGCCCGACTCGGACTCGTCGTAGTCGCTCTGCCCGTCTTCGTCCTCGTCCTCGTCCTCGTCCTCAGCCGCCGGGCGGCGCTTTGGCCCCACCGGCAAATAGAAGGAGCGGCGTAGGCTCTCCAGGCTGTGGTCGGGAGCGATCTCCAGCTCCACGGCCCCGGCGAGGGGCCCACCCATCTGGTCGTCGACCGGGGCCGACGGGTCCTCGGCGAGCTCGTCTGTGGTGATGAGCGCCGCCAGGCTCTCCCGCCGCACCGGCGGCCGCTCGGGGCCCGGCTCCCCCTTGTCGGCGTCCAGCAGGAGGGCGTCCTTGAGGCCCATCATCCCGCCCGGGGGCTCCAGGTCAGCCTCCAGCTCCCCCTCCGAGCCCGGGGAGCTGGCCTCCTCGATGGAGTTGGTGAGGTGCGAGGACCGCCCACTGCTGCTGTCGCTGCTCAGGTCCAGCTCCGTCTCCGAGATGCTGGAAATCATGTTGCTGGCCAGGCGGTGCCCGCCACGGCCGTAGGTCGCCTCGCCCTCGCCCTCCACGTCCGAGTCGGAGCCCGGGGAGCTCAACTCCTCGCAGTGGCAGACCCCGCCAGGGAAGGCCTTGGCGTTGCGGCTGGTGAGGTCGGCCTCTATGCCGGGGTCGGAGGAGGGCGACGTGCTGTCCGAGGAGGCGGAGGGCAACCCTCGCAAGCTCCCGCGAGGGCCCTCTCCCCCGGAGCCGAGCAGCTCTCCCGACGCCCCGGCCGGGCTCGCCTCTCCGTAGCCCTTGGCCGGAGGCTCCTCAGCGCCCAGACTCTTGCTCCGGCTGGCCCCAGAGGTTGGGGGGCTGTGCCCTGCTTTCACCCCGGCACCCTCAGTGGGGCTGCTAGCCGCCTTCTCCCTCTCCGCTTTCGCCTTCTTTTCCTCCTGTCTGGCCACGGCATCCCTTGGGAAGCAGGCATGGCGGCTCTCCGAGGCGGGGGACCTGTGCGTGTCGGCGTCGTGGGGCCGGCCAGATGGAGGTTCCCCTGCCGGACCTTTGGCAACACTGGTGAGCTCCGCGGGCACAGCAGCTGCCAGAGGGCATGAGCAGGGCGACGAGGAGACGATGTTCATGTTGTAATCCTCCCCGGCGCGCGGGGCAGGGGTGACCCCTGGAAGCGGCTCCCGGCTGTTCCCTTCGGCGTCGTAAAGAGAGGTGGGCTTGCAGTGGGGCTGGACTGGGCTGGGTCGTCCTGGGCTGCCCGGAGCATCCGCGCAGGGCCCATCCTGGAGACATGGGTGTGCAGGAGAGGAGCGCTCTGTGGGACCAAACAGACAGCTGGGGGTCAGGAGGCAGGAAGGGGCCACCGCCTTGGGAAGGGTGCTCGGAGGCCCAGCCCGGCTCGGAAGTGCCCCGAGTTCCTCTGTGGTGACTTGCCTGCCCTGGAAAGACGGGATGGAGGGCAAGGCCAAGCAAACTTGGCAATACGGAATGGGAGGGAAACCACAGGCTGCTGCTATTTAACCCGAAGCAGAACAAGACGTTTGAAATCACAAAGTGCCAAGAGGAGAAGTAGAGAAGGGGGTTTGTCCTTCTGGCTGGACCGCCTGCCTTCTGCTCCCTGAAGCACCCTACAGACACACACACACCCCATGCCCGGATTCCTGCATCCCCCTTGGGGTGGGGGTGGGGGGGTACACAGCTATGGGATTTGCTCGGCTCCACCTGCACGGCAGATGCTCGCTCACCACCCTCAGCCGGCGGAGTTTCCCGGCTGGGCCACCCAGCCTCCAAAGGGGCCAGAGGCCGGAAAGGGCTGCCTTCAGGGCCTCTCCCCCCCCCCACTTGCAAAGGGCCAGGATTGCTCTGGAACCGTGTACAGTAGCCGGCTTTTCCACCCCAGCCTGGGCAGCTCTCGCAGAAGCCCCAGGGATCGAAAGGGTCCAGGGGGTCTCGGCAAGGGGGGTGGTGGGGAGGCTCCCCAAAGAAGCCCCGGAAGGTCTTGGCAGAGAGGGAGGAAGAAGGCACTTTGAGAGAGAAAGAGAGAGAGTTTTCTCTTGGCAGGAGAATGAAAAAAGCTTTCATTTCCTCTCCGGAGAGTTTTAGGGGAGCTCCTTCATAGAACGCTTCCTCGGGTTTCTGGCAAAAGTCTCCTAATAGGATCTAACAATCGAAATGGTGGGAGACTTCTTCGCTTGTCCTTGGAAACTGTACGTCTGGGAGGGAGAGGAATCTTTCAGCAGACCTGGACTCCTGGGACGCTCTGGGGAAAGTCCGGGCCACTCCTGTCCCATGAAACCCAGGGTAAGCAGGAAGAGAGGCCGAGGGCAGGAAGGCACCAGCAAAACACCACACAGACAAACACACAAACCTGCTGCCCCGGGTGGGGGTTCGGACTCACCAGCGTGGGGGGCGGAAGAGGCGGTGGAGTGGAGGAGAGACTCCTGCCAGGTTGCCCGCTGGGGGGCCGGGTTGCAGCCGCTGTTGTTGTTCAAGGAGTCCTGGTGAAGCAGAAGGACAGAAAATGCATGTGTGTTCCAGGACAGCCATTCCAGGTTAAAATCAGGGCATGCCTGCAATCAACCTGCTTTACAGTTAATTAACGTGTGTCTATTACCACCTTGCACCTTCATTCACCCTGGGCATGAACCCCGTTGCTTGGGCATTGACCCCATCCCACACTCGCACCTCAAAAGCCAACTGCTTCCTTTCCAGCAGCTTTTTTTCGGTATGCCTAAGTCTGTCCATTGCTGGGGGTGGGGGTGCGGGGGACTGTTGATGGGAGGGTGCAGCTTTGTCTCCTGCTGCTGGGCTTCCCAAAAGAAAGGGGATCTCTCATGGGGTGGGGGTGGGTGGGGACCACAGTGTGTTGGACAAGTACCAGTGGGCAATCATCTCCGTGGGCTACGTTCAGTATCCTCCCATATTTGTTTTAAAGTGATTCGTGGAGATGGTGCTTAGGATCATTATGATTTTGATTATGATGAGAGAATGCATGCATTTGAAGGATTAGCCGCTGGGGCGAAGCAGTTCGGGACTAATAAATACACCTTTAATCAAAAGCTTACCCCTCTCAGCCTTTGCTCTTGGAATTGCTTTTTCCTCATCACAGCTGGAGAATTAGTGACCAACGGCTGTTTGATCCCTCAGTGTCTCTTCCCTGCAGGAAGTCTTGAATGGCTAATCTCTTGTCATCGATATTTTTCTTTGCTAAGTGTTAGTTCCTCATTCAGGAAGAATTCAGTAAACTCGGTGCCTGCCCCCCTCCAACCAGGAACATTAAAACAGCAGAAGCGTCCTGGGGGGGGGACCCTAACGCACACTGCAGATTTATCTTTCCTAAGTAGGATTGTTTATTTGAAAGATGGATGGATGGATGGATTTGCACCTGTCCAGTACGCCCAAACAGGGAATGAAAGGTGGCTCACCAGAACTTTAAAAACAAGGACAGCCGAAAAGACAGACTCTTTTACTGCTAAAACAGGGCTAGACAATATTGTAATATTAAAATGCGATGGATGTCACTGCGAACGCCACCTTTGCAAGTAAACCCTTTACAAGGAAGGACCTTGGTCCCAAGGAAGTGCGGCGCTCGCGGTATATAAAAGGCCGTTTGGGGAGGAAGAGCCTGCGGATGGACGACTCGGGCTGGGGCTGGCCGGAAGGGCCGGTCTTGTCTGGCCTTCCCTGCAGCCTCCCCCCCTTCCCCTGGCTCTGGGGGTGGCTTTAGAGCTGAGCCTTCAAGGATGTCTTCTCCACCAGTAAACTCCTGCCTCCTTCCACAGGAACTGGTTTTCTGCCCAGTATTTCATCAGGCAACCTCCACCCCCACCCCCATCCCCGGCAGTGTTTGAACCTGCGTGGGGAGAAGGGGTGGCTGACGAATGGCTTTATATTTTATGTTGGGCTTCTGGGGCAGAAGGCGAGGCAGCACGACGCCCGAGGAATTGAGCCCGTCGGCCAGTCCTCGCATCAAGGGGCACCCCAGCCAGTCGCCAGTGGGAAGGCAGCCGTGGACCGAAAGGGCTGAACACCCGAAGGGGAAGCTCTGCCGGGCTTCCCAACCCAGGAACGGCGGTGGCGGGTTAATGACACAGCAGATTAAGCGGAGTGGAAGGGGAGGCTGGGAAGCATTAATCCCCAAAGGAATTAGTGACCGACCGACCGACCGGGCACATGAACGAACACGAGATTGGGGTTGGGGGCTGGGGGAGGAGCAGCTCACACTGAGCCACTTCCCCTCCGTGGCTGGCCAGGCGTGGACAGGGAGGGGAATCCTTGCTTCTGGAGTTCACAGCAGGGAGAGGAGAGACCGGCCGGGGGTGGGTGGGTGGGTGGGGGAGAAGAGCCCGGGAGAGCCAGCACCTGCCTGAGCCTCAGCAGAAAAGAACGCCGGAAAAGAAAACCGCCACCCCCCCACAAGCTAAATCCCTAAAGGGTGCCGGCTCGGTTGGAAGGGGCCACGTTTTATTTCTGGTGGGGTGGTTTCGAGGTCCCCAGCAGAGTCCTTGGCCCGTATCTGTGGAGGAAAAGCCACGGCCCTCCGTCACCTCCAGAGGTTCGCCCAGCAGAGAGAGCCGAGGCTGCTTCCCTCCCTGAAGCAAAGATGGGCAGCAGGAAGAAATGCACCGGTTGCCAGGCAACCGGCCACGCAGCCCACAACCACTTTTCAGGATGGGGAGGGGGGGCGGCCAGAGAGGGAGGAGGAAGCATCCAGGCTCTCTGGGAAGGGGATATGCAGAAAGCAGGACCCCCAGGAGGGGTGGGAGAGGACCGGGGGGGGGGGGCAGCAGAAGGAGAGAAGGAAAACGTGTCTGGGGGAAGGCACGGGTGGGACCCTGCCCCGTGTTGCCTGCGTGGTGCTGGGAGAGGCCCCCAGAGGTCATTCAGCCCACTCCCCTCTGGGATGCCACTCCTGGGGCCCTGCCAGGTGAGCCGCCGGTCTCTGCCTCCGGCTCCCCAGGATGGGAGTCTTGTGAGGAAATGTGGTTGTGGGAACCCTGAGAGACTTCCGGATGCTGGAACATCCTCTTTTTTCACAACCTGTCCTCCTGGGAAGGGAGAGTCTTCCCTGGGGCTCCGATTCCCCACAGCGGGTCCAGAAGGTCGACCCAGCGGAGGCGGAGACCGAAAAAGCTGCGCCGGGCTTCCCTC